GTCCACAGCCGACACCCCCTCCTCCACAAAGCCTGAACCTCCTGTCACAGTCTCAGCTCCAGCCTCAGCCTCTTGCACAGACTGGAGCTCAAATGAAAAAGAAAAGTGGCTTCCAAATTACCAGTGTGACCCCTGCTCAAATATCAGCTAGTATGAGCTCTAATAACAGCATAGCTGAGGATACAGAAAGCTACGATGACCTGGATGAGTCCCACACTGAAGATCTGTCATCTTCAGAAATCTTGGATGTTTCTTTATCCAGGGCCACTGACTTGGGAGAACCTGAGAGGAGCTCCTCTGAAGAGACTTTAAATAACTTCCAAGAGGCAGAGACTCCTGGGGCTGTTTCTCCAAACCAGCCTCATCTTCCTCAGCAGCACGCTCCTCTGCCTCATCACCCACAGCAGGGTGTCGTGATCAATGGAAGTGTTCACCCCCATCATGTTCATCACCACCACCACCTTCACCACCACCATCATGGACACCATCATCCATCGCATCCTGGGGTGGGCAGTGCCCCGATTTCTGGAGGACCACCGCCCAGTCCGTCATTTAGAAAACTATCAACAACTGGAAGCTCTGACAATGTTGTATCAACTGCACCGGTTTCTGCTGCATCATCCACTGGTTCCCCGGCATCTGCCGTGTCTAATATCCGCACTACAAGTACTCCTGGCAATTTAGGTGTAAGTCCAGCTGCTGGAACTAGTACCTTAAATAATATGGGCGGTGGTGGTTCTAGTGTGGCAAGCAGCATGCTTGGTACTATAAATTTAAGCAACATCACGAGTACTGGTAATGTAAATGCTTTGTCTGGAACTAGCAGCAATGTTAATGTGAATATCTTGAGTGGTGTTGGCAATGGTACGAGTGCTTCCTCTAGTGTCATGAACAATGTTACTAATCCAACTGCGGGAATGGCAGTGGGATCAAGCCAGCAGCAGCCTGCATCTGGCACGTCAAGGTTTAGGGTTGTAAAATTAGATTCTAGTTCCGAACCTTTCAAAAAAGGTAGATGGACATGCACTGAATTCTATGATAAAGAAAACACGGTTGCAGTTTCAGAAGGAGTAGCAGTAAACAAAGCAGTAGAGACGATAAAACAAAACCCGCTTGAAGCGACTTCTGAAAGGGAGAGCACCAGTGGGAGTTCTGTTAGCAGCAATGTAAGCACACTGAGTCACTATACAGAAAGTGTGGGAAGTGGAGAAATAGGAGCACCTACTGTGGTACAGCAGCAAGCGTTTCAAGGTGTGGGTCCGCAGCAGATGGATTTTAGCAGCGCCGCTCCTCCGGCAATTCCAGCATCTAGTATACCACAGAGTGTTTCTCAATCACAGCTTGCACAAGTCCAGCTGCATTCTCAAGAAGTAAGCTATCCACAGCAGAAGCCAGGGGTCCAGCCTCCTGCACAGGCCAGTCTAACCACTGTTACTGGGGTTCAGCCAGCCCCGGTTAATATACTAGGTGTATCCCCGTCTCTGGGCCACCAGCAGCCTGCCATTCAAAGTATGGCTCAACAGCAGCTCCCGTACTCTCAGCCAACCCAGCCTGTGCAGACTTTGCCCGTCGTGCAGCAGCAGCAGTTGCAGTATGGACAACAGCAACAGCAGCAGCAGCAGACAGTTCCTACGCAGATGGCCGCAGGTCACGTTAAGCCGGTGAACCAAAACTCTGTGACGGGGGCTATGCCAGACTACATCCAACATCAGCAGATCCTTCAGACTCCGGCCCCGGCCATGCAGCCCAGTTCTGCGGGAGTAGGAGCAGGGCAGCCGGTTCCCGTTGCCCCGGCGCAGAGCATGCAGCCTTCAGTACAAGCGCATCCAGCCGTTGCCCCGGCTCAGCCGGTTGCGCATGCTCCAGCAGCGATACCCGGTGTAGGTACCAGTGGTCAAATGCTGAGCGTTGGGCAGCAAGGAAGCGTAGCCGCTGTGGTGCAACCGCCATCTGCTGCAAACCAAATTCCACCTCCAGTCATGCCGTCAACGGCTGCTCCTCCATCTTCGCAAGTAGTGCAGCCTGTGCAGACAGGAATAATGCAGCAGGGATTACAGGCTAGCGCTTCGGGCCTTCCTCAGCAAATGGTCATTGCTCAGCAAAACACCTTGTTACCTGTACAGCCGCAGGCACAAGGAGTGGAATCTGTAGTCCAAGGGATGACTGGCCAGCAGCTGCCTGCGGTTAGCCCTATACCTTCTGCTAGTACTGTTCCCGCACCAAGTCAAGCTGGTTCAGCTGTGCCTCCTGGCATACCTTCTGCTTCTATAGGTTTGGGACAGCCGCAGAATATAGCGCAAGCTTCGGCTGTGCAGAACGGGAATCTGGCTCAAAGTGTTAGCCAGCCTCCCTTGATATCAACAAGTATAGGTATGCCAGTGGCACAGAGTGTGCCGCAGCAGATACCGCTAAGCTCTACCCAGTTCCCCGCACAATCACTAGCTCAGTCCATTGTAAGCCAAACTGAAGATGGCAGACGCCCTACAGAACCTTCCTTAGTGGGTTTACCTCAAGCTGCCAGCGGCGAGAGCGGTGTTGGAGCAGCAGCCGTTTCCCGTTTCAGATGGCGGTAGCAGCAGCGTGCCATCTTCCGCTTCCCTCTTTCCGCTGAAGGTGCTGCCGCTGACAACGCCCCTCGTAGATGGCGAGGATGAGAGGTAAGGCTGCCTGTAACTTTATTAAAAGATACACTGTCTGGTAGTTTGATTTGCGCTAACTTGCAGGTCTTGTTACAGCCATTCTGTGAAATTAAGCGGTGTGATGTTTTTGTTTAATTGGAAATAACTGTTTCTCAGGTCCCGGCGCATGTAGGTATTCTATTAAAATACTTGTTTTCCTCTTGAGGGGGTGGGCTGTATTGATCATGCTCTGAAACTAGTGTGTGGGTAAACTGTGTTTAACAATCTGTGACAGTGTATATTCCCATTGTATAGAGGAAGACAAAAGAATACTGTGGAATGTGGGTATGCTAGTGGTGATTGTAGTTTAGATTATTTATTATACTGAAATAATTAATATTTATTCTTAAGTAGATTTTTTTTTTTTCTTCACAAGCCTAGACTTCATCCTGCCTCAGCTTCTCTTTTTCAAGTGTTGACTTCACTCAGGTTGAACCAGTTGCAACTCTGTGGCATATGTAGAAGCCTTCTCTTTGACAGCCAAGAGACGCTTTAGGCAAATGAGTATGGTGGGAAAAGGGAGGTTCAGCAACACCGCTGTGGCTATTTAAATTGAACTTGGGGCACTTTTGGTCTTAGTGGTTTTGCTTCAAAGCATTAATCCACGGAGGGAGCCGCTCAGGCCTGCGGAGGGGTGATGAGCCTTTCAATCTGGTGCACCAGTTCTGTGCAGTCAGAGTAAGAAACTGCACGTGTTTTCCCTTCACCTTTTCAAATAAATGACCACTGGCTGGTCTTAATAGGATGTGAATATTCTCTTTTCTTTGGCAGCGTGTGCAGAGAAGCTGTGTCAGTTGTGGAAGGCCTTTGCGTATGCAGGCTAAAGTGATCTGAACAGCAGTTTTGAAGTGCAATTGTTTGATACTAATTACACGTGGAAATTCCTCACTGTATTGAGGTCCTCTTGTGATACGCATTTACAAATGGACAGGAAGACTGTGGTGGTTTTCTCAAAGAACTTCTTGTCTAAGGAGAGGCTACATTAATGTGAGAAGTAAATTTAAGGTAAATTACCTGCCTTGAGAATGTGGGAGAAGACAGAAAAGAACACTAGAAAAGAAAAACTGAAACTCAGGTGAGGAGACAAAATAAAGCAGTAAACACAAGGTGGGAAAAGTGCTGTAGCAATGTGAAGTGAAGTACTTCTAAACTATCTTCATGGTGCCATAACTTAAATCAGGAATAACCACTTTATTAAAAAAAAATTAAGGTGGGTTGCTGGGAGAGGCTGGATTCTTTTCTTAATATTGAAAAGACGAGCTCTATCAGCAGTCTCTGATTATGTTGATCATGAGGTGTTGACTGCCTTAGTGGCTTTCATCACGTCTTTCTAAGATGCCAGAGAGCTATAATGAGTAGCAGCTTGTCTTCCAGGAGTGCTAGAAGACAAGTTCCAACACTGTTTCATTCTGATTATGTTTTTTAGTCAATAAGTACATGAAGGTGGTAGAAGACAGATAGAGGTGTTAAAGCCCACAGTGTGTCACCATTATGCTACTAGCAGTCAGTTTTCCCAGAAACTTTTTTTTGGTTTACCTTCCTTTGATCTTTCTAAACCAGAACACTAATCCTTCTCTTTATGGGTCCTGTTCGTGTTTGGTAGTGTGTGGTGTTTTTTTCTTTTTTTTTCTTTTTTTTTTTTTTTTTTTTTTAAACCAACCAAATAAGCCCCCTAAGCTTTCAGGGGATCCTTGCTGAGTAAGAGAAGCATAAGCTCATTGATACTCAGTGTTTTGGAAAATGACATCTAGCATGTGACTGTACCATGATTTTAAGAGCATATGTTAGCTGTTTGTTGTAATTGGTAGTTTTTCCCAGAATGTTTAAATCCCTCAGGGTAACAATAGCCAGAAATACCTTCTTCCTCTGTTATTTGGCTAGCCAAAGATCATATCCTTTCTTCTCCCGTGCACGTTGCGTCTTTGTTCAAGCTGTCATCTCCAGGTAGACTATACTTTTGTTTCGCTGCAGTTGGAAAAGCATTTAGATGCTTTACACAGAGCAGGATATGACTCTGTTAAATGGAGACCAAAAATAATTGTGTTTTTTTGCATGGCAGTAGTGGTCAGGTCGCTTTTGTGTACAATTAGATAATTTACAGCAGCACTTCTCCCTGTGTATCTGCCTGTAACATTAAAAACTTGCGAGATTACTTCTGTTTCCGCTTTCGGGGTATCTCAGGGCAAGGAATTATTTGTATTGTCATCTTGACTGGGATTTCTTTTGGTCTGGAGCTTAGACCTCGTCAGTCACTAAAAGTAGCGCAAGATAGGCTGCTGTTCTGCTTGGCCTCTCGCTTCCCTGGCTGTTGGATGTCTCTAACTAGAGTTCTCTTGACAGTTTTTTGCCCGTTTGTTAGATTATTCCCTGTCTTACAGGAGGTAAAGGGTGGCGTATCTTAAAAGTACACAGACATTTAAGAAGCAGGTATGCTGTAAATACGTGTGTATAAAATCCCCATTTCTCTGTCTCATGTGTACACACACGTATATTACTGAAGATTTATATCAATACATCCCAAGTGATTCTAAACCTGGCAAGGGAGAAGGTAGGAGAAAGAAGTAAGTGATGACATAATTGGGCCAGGGAAGAAGCTGTAAAATTCCATTTGGTGTGCCTTTGAAAAAACATCTGACCCATGTAATACCTTGTTTAGATTAACTCCCAGCTTTCGTTAAACCTGTATATAATTGCGTTTAAAGACGCGCCAGTATCTTTAAGTCTTCAGCCCTGTTCAGTTTTTAGAACACCGTTTGCAGCTCTTTAGCTCTTTCTATGCCTGTTATCAGGGCATGGCCTTTTAAATATAGACAGTGTGAAGTGTATCTCCTTTGAAAACTGTAACCTTTATTTCCACAGTATGAACGATTTTTTTTTTTTTAATCTTCCCTATGACTTGAAACTTCCACAGTATGAACGATTTTTTTTTTTTTTTTTTTAATCTTCCCTATGACTTGAAATAAGAGATATTAAAAATGAACTGCTTGGCAGAATGCCGTATGGAAAATTAATTTGCAACCTTTATTTATTAAAGAGAGGATACAAATAATACTGTTACTGTTTCCGTATGTAAAAAAAACCAAAAAATAAATAAACCCCAAAACCACACATAGTTCTTCTGCCTAGTCTTTCTTCAGCCTGTTGGGTATGCCATAGATATTTGCATGTTGGTAGATTAATCATCTCTTCTAATATTTCAATCCACAAAAATGCAGGCCAGGTTTTTGGATGTTAAGTTTCTTTTTTTTCTTTTTTCCTTGGGTTAAATCATTGTATGGACTCGTTTCAGTGCATGGTTCTCATATAGTTTCTTGGACTTGTAGCAGTTACCTTGATTTATTCAGTTCAGTTATTAAATTCTGTCAGTTTTAGACATGGTCTTTTGAGCTTGGTATTTCGTCTGTAGAACTGTAGAGTAAGATTTCTTTTATTTTTATGCTTTTGAAACTTACATGTGGAAAAATACATATTTATAATGCAGTGAATTCTTTTGTGTGCTTATACTTAGTGTTGCAAGATCAGTTTTACATCTTCCTAGACAATGCCTTATGCTACAGATGCTTGCAATAAGATTTTGTACAGACTTGCATAATTCTTATATTACCTGTAAAGTGAAAACTTAAAAAAAAAATCAGTGTATTTTACAGCATTTGTAAAGGCTGCTGTAAGTGAATTTAAAAATAACTTAATCTGAAACATTGTTTGCCATTACTCAAAAGCAGATTTTGTGAATGAAGGATAAGAGAACTAATAACTGTCTCCCTGTCCTTGACAGCATTTCCTGTAGAGTTGCTTTCATTCTTTAGTCTGATGCAAGTTGTTTTCACCTGTTTGTGCATTTCATCCAGCAGTGAAGCAAAAAAGAAAGGAGGAAAAGGTGATGATAATAAACCTGATATGGGGATTTGAAATATTCTTTATTATCTGACAATCTCTCAAATTTTCTTTTTGAAGAGAAGCTTTTATGAAAAGATCTTTTTACAGCTGGACGGAGGAAAAAAGTAGAGGAAATGTTTTCTGTATAGGATGTATGTTTTGGCTTGTTACTAAATCTGTGGAGAGGCTGGAAGAGTAAAGCCGAATGTGAGAATTGAAAGACTTGTGAACAGTCTTTGAGAATGTCTGGTAGTAGTAGCTGGTGTACTAGCTTGTTGTAAAGCAAGAGTAAAGTCAGGGAACGGGATGAAATTTTATCCTGTATGCGAGTATGTAGTAGGAAGGTTGATCAGGTACGAATGAGTTACACATGTAACTTGTTGAAGGTGTTAGTAAGCAGTAGTGAATGAGCATATTGAAGTAGAACTGGAAGTTTCAATTAAACGTTATTTTTTGATGTAACTATTTTGTGTACTACTTTATTTTGTAAGCTGTTTTAGAGTTTATATGAGCTTTTTTATTTGCTCTAAGCTTTGCTTTGTGTATTTGATGAAAAGGGGAGATGATACTTCCAGAAGATATTTCACATCAAGGGATTTATGGTGGCTTAGCATGGATTTATGGTGGTGTGTTTTTTTTTTTTAGTTGCATCTTAGGGGCAGTGTTGTTATTTTCCATTTTTCAGATTTCAAACTTGCTTCAGAGTCTTACCACCAATTTGATAATTGCATAACTTGAATTCTAGGAGGAGGACTTTTTTTAAAAAAAAGTCTCTTCATAGCTTCAATTTGGCTACTTACAAAGCTTGAAAAAATAGTTACCCTCAGTAATGGCAAATCACATGAGTAAAGAAAGAGCGTGCTTTGGTGAAGAAAGTGTAGTTGCTGTTGTGTCACGCTGACAAGTCCAGCTTCTCATTTCATCTGATGAAATAAAATACCCACCATTGCCGGAATTGACTGTGTTAGCTCGCTGCTCTAAGTAAAGAGCAATGAGGAATTTAGGGTCTGCACCTTGTATGTCTGCTGGCCAGCTGTAGGTGGCAATACCTGTTTGGATGGACCTTTTTCTGGTGTCTTTTATAGATGCATTTTCTGCATGCC